ATGTTTCAACCGCTGTAAATGAACTGTCAGAACTATCAGAAATAGCGGAGCTCTCTGCAGTGACACTTTTGCCGGCTGATCGGGAAAAATTCGATTCGTGCACCCGAAGTTTGCTAAAATTCGGATTCGATGCGAATCGAATTTTTCCTGATATTCGAAACTAATTCCACTTCGCCAGGTTCGATTCGCTCATCTCTAGTCATAACTAATCACATGTGCAGTACAATGATGACTGCAGTTCAGAAACTAAAATGGCAGCTTTCTTGGTTGTATGGATAGGAGGGTTTAGTTCCACTTTAAAAAGGTTCTTCACCCTAGGAAGAAAAAGTTAGAGGTCAGCAGCTACAAATCCTGTAGCTGCTGACTTTAAATAAAAGGACACTTGCCTGTCCAAGGATACAGTGCCATCCTCACGCAGGTTGGTTCTTTGCCGGTCTCCAGGTCCCTACCACCGTCATATTTAGTGTGGGAAGCCGGCAGTGACTCCTTGTGGCCTTTGTGCATGTGCAAGCTGAGCTGCACTTTGTGAATGGTCCCGCAACCTTCTGGAACGTGTGACATGCTCCAGAAAGCTGTGGGTAAGAGGGAGAGTCTAACTTCCACTCAGATTGCCTAGGACAGGGGTGTCCAAACTTTTTTGGAAGAGTGCCAGATTTGATGAAGTGAACATGTGCGAGGGCTGACCATTTTGCCCGACATTCTGATGAACCATTAAAATTAAATGCAAATGAACTATTTTATGCAAACGTTTATTGAAAACGGCATACTTTTCATTTTGTGACTTGGATGACAAATCTAAACAGGTGTTAAATCACTCTGCCAGCACAGGGAGAAGGAAAGCCCAAATCTCGCGAGATCTCAGAGGTCGCGAGATTTGAGCTTTGTTTCTCCTTGCACTGTCTGATGACGTCAAGCGATCCTGAGCACCAATCTATTATAGCCCAAATTGATACCGTATTTTTCGCTCCATAAGACGCACCTGACCATAAGACGCACCTAGGTTTTAGAGGCGAAAAACAGGAAAAAAAAATTCTGAACCAATGGACTGCAGACATAGTACAGGAGATGACCAGAGACTGCAGACACAGTACAGGAGATGACCAGAGACTGCGGACACAGTACAGGAGATGACCAGAGACTGCGGATATAGTACAGGAGATGGCCAGAGACTGCGGACATAGTACAGGAGATGACCAGAGACTGAGGACACAATACAGGGGATGACCAGAGACTGCGGATATAGTACAGGAGATGGCCAGAGACTGCGGACATAGTACAGGAGATGGTCAGAGACTGCGGACATAGTACAGGAGATGGCCAGAGACTGCGGACATAGTACAGGAGATGGCCAGAGACTGCGGACATAGTACAGGAGATGGCCAGAGACTGCGGACATAGTACAGGAGATGGCCAGAGACTGCGGACATAGTACAGGAGATGGCCAGAGACTGCGGACATAGTACAGGAGATGGCCAGAGACTGCGGACATAGTACAGGAGATGGCCAGAGACTGCGGACATAGTACAGGAGATGGCCAGAGACTGCGGACATAGTACAGGAGATGGCCAGAGACTGCGGACATAGTACAGGAGATGGCCAGAGACTGCGGACATAGTACAGGAGATGGCCAGAGACTGCGGACATAGTACAGGAGATGGCCAGAGACTGCGGACATAGTACAGGAGATGGCCAGAGACTGCGGACACAGTACAGGAGATGGCCAGAGACTGCGGACACAGTACAGGAGATGGCCAGAGACTGCGGACACAGTACAGGAGATGGCCAGAGACTGCGGACACAGTACAGGAGATGGCCAGAGACTGCGGACACAGTACAGGAGATGACCAGAGACTGCGATGACCATTCACAAAGCGAAGCGCATGCGCAGTGGGCACCCGGCTGTCACAGAAGCCAGCGCGGGAAGACTGCGCAGCGCTGGAGCGAGGAACAGGTAAGGCCCTGCAGGAGACAACAGCTGAGCGGCCGGCACGGTATTCTGACATGGTGGCGGCAGAAATACCGGACCGGCCGCTTTATATTCGCTCCATAAGACGCACTGACATTTCCCCCCCTTTTTTTGGGGGAAAAAAGTGTGTCTTATGGAGCGAAAAATACGGTAAATGGTAGCCCCAGTAGTAATTCCCTGCGCACCACCGGGGATCCCTCGGCCCACGTTCCGGACCCCACAGATGAGCTGCCCAATATATAACTTACGGCCCTCCACTAGTGATTCTGCGAACGCCACTGAGGACTCCAGGGATCTGTCGAGCGGGAATTGACGTCATCAGCCGGCACACAGAGAAGGAAAGCCCAAATCTCACGAGATCTCGGACGTCGCGAGATTTGGGCTCTCCTTCCTGCGCCAGCTGATGATGTCAAGAGATAGCTGGGAGTCCTCAGTAGCTTTCAGGGAATCACTACCGGGGGCCGTAAGTTATATATTTGGGTAGCTCACCTGTGGGGCCGTTTCAGTCCGGAACGCGGGCCGCAATTGGCCCGCGGGCTGGACTTTGGACATGCCTGGCCTAGGAAGTGGGAACGATTACCTATTAAAAGTAGGTACTTGCTCCCCCCCAAAAAAAAGTATTATGTGCCAAATGCGGAAGGGGAGGGTGGGATTACATACAGTAAAACTTCCCATTTAGGATGAAGGTCTGCTTTTAAGTTTTTATTACTTGCTCTTCTTTTGGAGGTCTTCCCTAGGTTCCTGTAACATTGACACCAGGCCAAGAAATGGAGAAGTGCAGCTGTCACCGAGATGGGAAAGCACAAAGAAATAAAAACATGCCAGAGGTTTTAACTGAGGGCAGAGCCGAATAAATGCACAACAGAGACTTCAACCGTTTTCCATGCTATAGAAAACAGAACATCAAATTTAGGCATGAGTTGAACTTTAACCATTTGTGTCAAACTTGGCCTCCTACATGACTGCAATAGTGCTGGTCGTACAGCTGCTGCATCTCCCTGGTTAGTTCCTTTTAACAGACATCTGTTGGGTAATGAGAAATAGGATAATATGTAATCAGAAGCCTCGTGCCAAATTCATAAAAACCTTGCAAAATTTTTATTGTTTGGGACCCATGCATGGGTACAACAAATCAAAGCATTTCCATATGGTGCTAGTATTGCAAAAAACTCATAAATGAATACTGCTATTTCAGTGATCAACTAAAAAGATAACGGAATAAATTTTGGCCAAGATTTATGATAAAATATTATTTATTCCTCCCTCCTAGATTGTAAGCTCGAAAGAGCAGGGCCCTCGATCCCCTCATGTTTTGCATTGTATTGGTATTGTTCTGTCACATGTTCTGTCCCCCTTTGTAATGTACAGCGCTGAGCGAACTATTGGCGCTTTATAAATACTGTATAATAATAATAATAATAATAATATTAGCAAAATTTTATAAGAAAAACACTTTTTTTGTGGTGAATAAATACCACCAAAATAAAGCTTTATCTGTCTCAAAAAAATGCTTAAAAATTCATATGGGTACAGTGTTGCATGACCGCGCAATTGTCATTCAAAGTGTGATAGTACTGAAAGCTGAAAATTGGCCTGGACAGGAAGGGGGTAAAAGTGTCCGGACTGGAAGTGGTTAACAAATCCATATCGTTTTCTCTAAAAAGCTTTTGACCAGTTTTTTAATATCTGGCTGTTGGGTGTTACTGATATTTAGAAGCATACGGAAGACAAAAGCATATATTTTCAGATTTTTTTTGACCATTCTAGAGAAAGGGGATAGGTGGTGTATTTACTGTATACTTTTGGAAGTAATTGGCAGAAATCTTGAATGCCACATATAGTACTTGTCCAGTACTTATATAGGAGGATCTGTTTCATTCCTGTGTATCGCTTGAGGCTAGTCCCTTCACTGGGTATATGTAACTATTTACAGCTGCTTAAAGTTTTTCTGCTTTAAAGTGAACGTGAACTTTGCCCATAGTTTGTCCCTGATGCCTTCCCAAGCTTTCCTCACAATCGACATACCTGTCCTGCTCCTGATAATTTTACTGTGCAGCCTGCTCAGTATGCACACGCTTTCCTTTAAAATACTTGCTGTCGGTTCCTGCTCCTCCCGTACATTTGTAGCTCTGTTCATTCAAGTGGATAGTCTTTACTCCACTCATTCTACCTTGATGCAGCAGGATAGCACTTGGTCACCTGTACTTATCATTTTTACAATGCACATCCGAGATAGGTGACAAATGTATTTTCTAGTTCAGTAATTCAGTATCCTTTTGTCAACTCTTGTTCACGTAACAATGAGTTTGCATCACCACCTTTTTGTCCAGTTAACAGGGAAGAGATCAAGGAATCAAAGTGTTATGGTTCACACATGCACAGTAGTGGTTGCAATTATGGGGTCTGTGGTCTTGAGAAGGGGAATCGGGTACCTTTCTGTGTAATTGTAAGAGTGCTCTTGCCAACCAGAAGTTCAGGAAAGCAGCACAGAACAAACTGGAGGCCAGTAGTTTCAAATTTGGCTATTAATGTTTCAGACATTTTTATAAAGTAAACATTTTGTTGTCTTGTGCTTAACTGGTTATTACAAATGTAATGTAATTAAAGAGTAAAACTTCAGACTGAGGCATAAAATAATGGATTTTAACGCCTGTGATTCAATCAGATTTGTGTACATTTCAGCTTGAGCTATTAGGCTTTGCAAACAGGCTTTTGATGACACCATAGTATACAGAAACTGGAAAGCATGTGAAAAGAAGCCTACATAATATTTTCATGTAGTGTTTTATTATAACACATTTTTTAAGGTATTTACAGAACCTCTATATACACTCCCTCCTATGTTGAATTAGAATAGGTAAAGTGGTCTTCCTGGATGTGCAATGTAGAAGAGTATCACAAAATTGTATGACTTACAATTTCTTTAGCATGTAAAGGAGAAAACATTTGACATTTTTTTTTTTTTTAAATAGGATGTTTGCCTGAAGTGGTATATTTATTCATAAGTAAAATGTTGATATAGGACAAAGAAATGATGATTGACCTGATTATATATAAATACAAACTACTCTTTCCTCAGGTACTGTTGGTAAGCAGCAGTCGCTATCCAGATCGTTGGATTGTCCCAGGTGGAGGTCTGGAGCCAGAGGAGGAGCCCAGTGCAACAGCTGTTCGAGAAGTTTTTGAAGAGGTAGTTGCTCTTTTTTTACGTTTACTAACTTTAAAAAAAAAAGTTGTGAATTTGAAAGTCTTAAATGCCTGCATAATACTCAATTCTGCTATTACAACTTTTGTGAAAGATGTTGAAATCTGAGGCTGGAACCTTGTGTGCATTTTGGTAAGATGTCTTTTGTCTTTCCATTGAAAAGAAGTAACAAAAGCCAGCTCATATCTTACGAATTGAGCAACGCAAGCTTTTGTGTTTTTATTTGGCACTCCCACCGCCCGCAGCTCCTAATGGTGCGGCTGTACCGCCGTAGGCTGGTGGGTGGACCTGCGGTCCCTAGCATTAAACACTACTATATGGCTGCTCAATTGGCTTCAGTTGCCTGTTTCTACGCAATGCCTTTCTGAGTCTACCTGGCTATCTTTGAATGCTCTCCCTTTCCCATGTAAAACCTCCTCTGGACACCACCTTCATACCTTGGATTCGGGACACTTCCTTACTTCACATTCTGCATCTTTGGGAAATTTTCTCGTAATCTCATATCTCCTTATTTGCACTTGTCTGGTGTCCTCAATACTCCCCAATTTCCCCCAGCCTTCGATAATCTGCTGACATTTCGCTGATGGCAAATGAAAGGAGCCAAATATGTTTATGAACTTCTGTCGTTGGATGGAATGAAATCCTTCAGTTACTTGAAAGAACACTTGCAATCTTCTGACCTCGAAAGATTTCTGTCATCTGCAAATCTTGCAATATGTCCATAGCCTCCTCACCAGTTGACCTCTTTTGAAAACCATTGCCAGAAGGACCCACATTTGAAGGGTCTTGTTTCTGATCTCTATTCCTTTCTTGTAAACGTCACAAGCAGTTGCAAACTCTCGTATGTGGCGAAATGGGAAACGTTTTGGGTAAGTCCCTGGGTCCAGGCTACCTGGAATGGTCTTTGGCTCATCTCTTCTAAATACTCTCAGAATATTCTTGCCCATGTAAATGAATTTAAACTGCTTTCCTGGTGGTACTTGACCTCTGATTGCATCTCTCAGTTCACTCCCAGCACATCTCCAGTATACACAATGATTAGAAATGTACTAATTGTACACTTGACCCATCATCTGTGGAAGGCTTTGCATCACAAATACATTATGGCTCTGTCCAGAAATCCGAGGAAGTTTGTAAGCTTTGTTTGTTTTACTAGCAACTTGCTAGACACTGGCCACTCCCACCCCTAGGTTGTGGATTGCATTTTTTCGATAGGTGGAACTGACCCTGTACAGTAGGGCTCTCTCCTACTCGTACATTCCCACAGCTGGATGCGATTTATTATATTTGTCAATATGATGGCGATGAGTCTTGTATTCTATTTTGATTTGCTCTTGTTGCTTGTGGCCCACTTATACGCTTGCTTTTGCACTTTCACATACACTGGGTATTTTTTGCATTCTTCTCCTGTGCTGTGTTGTAAAAGAAATAAGTAAAAAAGCACCAAAAACATGAGTGGCAATGTAATGTGCATTGTAGATAAGCGTGCATTGATGAGCATTAGCCTCATGTTCTAAAGTGTGTTTACATGTGTTTATATATACATTTTTCAAATTGATTTTAAGGGAAAACACGCTTTTATATGAATTGCGACGTGCTCCAAAGCTTGTTGAGTTGGCTCGTGATTAAGGCCTTCTTTGACTGAGACACGTTTACTGTATTTTATGGCTTCGCAAATCCTTTTTGAAATACATAGTTATAATTTCAATCCCTGATTGAGTGCCAGCTTTTTTTCACACAGTAATATCAAAGGCAAATGCATTTTGCCAAAAGTGTGGTTTTAGCCTTAAAATGTATGCTACCCCAACATTTCATATTTTTGATATCCTGTGTCTGTTATACCATTTATTTGTATTAAAAAAAAACCTTTTTTTTTTTTTTCTTTGCATTGCTTCCTTTCCTATTTCAAACTGACAATGTGGGAGCATGGAAGTAGATCCAACCCAGCGTGGTCAGTTTTTTATTTTATACATGCAACAGCATGCCTGTCAATCAATGGTCAGAGTTTTGCACACACCCCCATCCTGTACAGTTCATCGCTGGGAATATCAGTGTCCTGCTGATATGCCCCTCTGCAGTCTCTCTGCACACTTCTTGTGAACAAAGAATAGAAGTCTTGTGCTCAAAAAACAAAACAGAAAAATGTATTTATAATTAATATCCTATTAAAAAAAACATCTATCAGAATGCAATGATCTGTAAACCTCATAAACCCATATTTTGTTCCTAATAGAAAACATCAAATGTTTACACTGAGAAAATGTACTATTTTAAGAAAAAATGGTGGCAGCAACACACCAAAAAAAAAAAAGTTGTGACAGGACCATGTTTACCATGCTGTCTCCATCCCCTCTTTTTAACTCTCCTGTAAAGGCCTGGGGACTGGGGAGACCATTTGCTGGAGTTTCAGGAGAGGAATATTGTCTCATTCTTTCCTGATGTAGGATGCTAACAGCTCAACCGTTCTGGGTCGTCTTTGACTTATGTACATGCTGCCTGGATATATCTTTCAGCATTGATGGGGCCTTTCCAGATATGCCAGCTGCCCATTCCATACACACTAATGCACCCCCCCATATCATCAGAGATGCAGGCTTTTGAATTGGGCACTGATAATAAGCTCCTCTTTAGTCCAGAGGACAGGGCACCCATTGTTGACAAAAATTTTCAAATTTTGATCCTTCTGACCACAGAACAGGTTTCCACTTTGCAACAGATCATTTTAAATGAGCTTTGACCAGAGAAGATGAAGGCGTTTCTGTATCAGATACGGCTTCTGTTCATACAGTGGTTTTTAGACGTATTCCTGATCCCATGCATTGATGTCCTTCACAGAATTATGCCTGTTTTTAATGCAGTGCCATCTGAGGGCCTAAAGATCATGGGCATCCAATTTTTGCATTTGCCCTTGTCCTTTTGCACATATAGATTTCTCCAGATTCTCTGAATCGTTTGATATTATGTACTGTAGATGATCTATTTAAAGTCTTTGCTATTTTATGTTAATGACAAAGTAAAACCTAATATTAAAAATATTTGCAAATGTATGAAAAAGCAAAAACTGAAATATCAAATTGGCATAAGTGAAATATCACATTTGGTATAGTGCAACACCACTTGAAATTGAATTCAGATGCCTCCTATTTCTCTTAACCATCGCAGAGATGTTTCTACCTGTGGTAAATTAAATTGTTCAGACATGATTTGGAATGGCACACACCTCTCTAAAAGGCCTCACAGCTTGTAGTGCATACTATATCCGAGCAAAAGCCATGATGTCAAAGGAACTGCCTGCAGAGCTCAGAGACCAGATTATTGCAAGGCACCAATCTGGGGAAGGCTATGAAAAAATTTCTGCTGTACTGAAGTTTCCCAATAGCACAGTGGCCTGCATAATTCTCAAATGGAAGATGTTTGGCACAAGGACTCTTCCAAGAGCTGGTCACCCAGCCAAACTGACCAATCTGGGGAGAAGGGCCTTCGTAAGAGAGGTGACCATGAACCCGATAGTCAATCTGACTGTTCTTCAGAGATGGGAGATGAGATGAAGATGGGATGGAGTTACAGAAGGACAACCATTGCAGCAGCCCTCCACTGATCTGACGTTTTGTCAGAGTGGCTAGATAGAAGCCTCTTCTCAGTGCAAAATACATGAGTCTGCTTTGAGTTTGCAAAAAAAGTCCCAGAAGGACACTGACTGTCAGGAACAGCATTTTCTGGTCTGATAAATCAAAGATTGAACTGTTTGGTCTGAATTCTAAACGTTATGTCTGCAGGAAACCAGGCACCGCTCATCACCTGCCCAGTACTATCCAAACAGTGAAGCATGGTGGTGGCAGCATCATGAGTTTTTCAGTACTAGGGACTGGGGGGCTAGCCAAGGTTGAGGGAAAGCTGAATGGAGCAAAGTACAGAGATATCCTCCATGAAAATTTGCTCCACAGTGTTTAGAACCTCAGACTAGGCCGAAGGTTCACCTTCCAACAAGATAACAATTCTACTCACATAGCCAAGACAACACAGGAGGAATGTCCCAGGGTGGCCCAGCAAGAGCCCTGACTTGAACCCTATTAAACATCTCTGGAGAGACCTGAAAATGTCTGTCCACAGGCAATTCCCATCCAACCTGACTGAGCTTGTGAAGATTTGCAAAGAAAATTGGCAGAAAATCCCCCAATCTGGGTGTGCAAAGCTTATCGCTTCATACCAAAAAGACTCGAAGCTGTAATTGCTGCTAAAGGTACTTCAACAAAGGTTCAAGTAAAAGGTCTGTACCAAGTACAATTGGCCTCTGTTATTATAAATTATGCTTGAGATCCCTGAACCTGTGCCATGGAAAGTCATCAATGGTTGAACCCATGCAGTGGGTAAATCGCCATGATTACCGTGATGTCAATCAATGAACTCCGCTATCAATTGGCCTCTGTTATTATAAATTATGCTTGAGATCCCTGAACCTGTGCCATGGAAAGTCATCAATGGTTGAACCCATGCAGTGGGTAAATCGCCATGATTACCGTGATGTCAATCAATGAACTCCGCTATCATTGCTGGCTCTGGGGAGCATCGTGATGTCATCCAAAGCCCTGTCCTGATGCGTTTCATCACTTGTCACGTGACTTTCTCAAGGGGAATGTAATATGACCACACAACGCTACGCTCTGTTAAAAAGACCCTCCCAAGCCATCTTGTTGTGGATATAAATATTATAATCAAACCCTGCCATTTTACTGTAGCTCATGAGTGAAAACCAATCAGTCTGAACCTAAAAACTAGGAAAGATATTCTAATCAGGATGAGCCATCACGCTGCTGCTCAGGACATAAGATTTCCGGCACTGACACTAGCCAAATGCAAAACTAGTGAAAAACAATCAGAAAAGATGAGTAGGGAAAAAAATGTCAGTGGCTTCCACCTGTAAAACCATTCCTGTTTTGAGGGTCATCTCATTGTTGCTCATCTAGTGTACCTGTTAATTTCATTAACATCAAAGCAGCTGAAACTGATTAACAACCTCCTCTGCTACATAACTGACCAGATCAATATCCCAGGAGTTTAATTGACTTGATGCTAAAAAGTGTTCCTTTTAATTTGAGCAGTGTATATGTTTTTCTGGAGATCTGATGTCCTGTGCAGCGGTGTGACTAATTGTTTTTCACTCATGAGCTACAGTAAAATGGTGTCGTTTGATTATATATATTTATATCCACAACAAGATGGCGTGGGGTGGGGGGGGGGGGGTCTAACAGAGTGTAGCATTGAATGGTCCAATTACATTTCCCTTGAGAGAGTCATGTGACAAATGATGAAGCGGGGCTTTGGATGATGTCACAATGCTCCATGGAGCCGACGATGGTAGCCGTGTTAATTGATTTTGACCATTGCTGACTTTCCACGACACAGGTCCACGGATCTGGGGCATATTTATAATAACAGGCTGATTGGTGCGATTTGGACACCTTTCACATGTGAGTGTGCAATTTATTTACTTTGAGATGTTAAAATGTTTTACAATTTACACATGTGGAGTCTTTTATTTATGAGGTGATGTGATGGCTGGAGCTAAATTCCGGATGAGTTGTGAATGATAGCTGGGGTCCATCAAGTTGGTCTACAGTTTCCATACTGGGACCATAAGCACAGGTAGACCAAACATAGTGTTATCTGAGATCATTTTTCCAGAGGTGAGCAGACATTGGAGATAAATTGGAGCATTCCAATGGAGATAAATTAATTTATTCATACACATCTTTGTGATGTTCATATTGTAAATTATTATATTGTAGCATTGCACTGAATACTAGAGTACGTGCATGTGGGTTTTTTTTTGTTGTTAATTCGGACATTTGTAAGATTCTGTTTTCACTTTGTAATTATGGGCTACTGGGTGTAGATTAATGAGAAAAAAAAATGAATTTAAACTATAGTATCACGCTGCAACATAACAAAATTGAAAAACATGAAGGGGGTCTGAATACTTTATGAATGCACTGCACCAAATACTTGATCATTTCTGAAAGTGGGAGGAAAAATAAATAGGATTCCCAATAAAAGACTGATATGGTGGTTAGGGAAATATTCGATTTAAAGGGTATTTAGTTATGGTCCAGATTTGTACTAGAAGACTGCAATCAATGGAGTTTGGAGAAAGAGAGATCAGTGATCATGATAATGAATGATCAAGATCACAAGTAAGATAATATAACTAAACATTAGGTAAGACAAGACTTCCAGAATTTCCTAATTTCAAGTCCTTTCAGCTCATATAGATTGTTAATTAGGAACTTCAATTCTTGAATAAATGGGAAAAAATTGGTATAGAAGTTTGTGCTCTATCCAATTTTCATTGTGACTATCTGGGCTATCCAGGATTAGAATTTAAAATGGTTAGTTCTCATGTGAGAAAAATATTGAAGTAGTCATTTATGGCTTTCTTCTAAAGATGCTGTATCTGTCTTCAGTCAACTTTTTTTTTTTTTTTTTTCTTGGTCAGACAGGCAACATGTTTATTGCCTCATGTAGAAAGGAAATTACACAATAATAATTGGCATAGTTTTAAATCTATTGACTTTTTTATTCCTTTGATCCCTTGAAATATATATATATATTTTTTTTCATTTGTGTGATTGTAACTGCTATTGACAATGGCCCCACTGCCAATACAAACAAAACCAGAAAGGGGGGGGTTCCTATGGTGGGACCGGAGCTAGACACCTTTATTTTAACTTGTAGAAATTTCATTAAACGTTTCTATTAAGACACAGATGAGGTTGACATTTTTGGTCTCGCTGGAAAATACTATGTTCTGGGCTGTCATGCTGACCCTTTGACTTCATTAATTTTTGAAGTGCTGACCCAAAAATAAGGATGTAGATAAGGACTGACTTTCTCTTTCCTGATCTGCAATCTTGCTCCTGGTATTAAAACCAGGTGGCTAGTCTATTCAGAAGAAAATTAGTAATGGCAGCCCCTTCAGTCTGTAATAACACCTTCATGTAATATACTAGAATATTAATTACAGTTTTTGAGATGTGAGCACTACTAAACATTCCTTGTATTGGCAGATTTTTGTTAAATTTTTTTTTTTAAACAAAGATTTTCTCTTAATACTTATTCTTTCCAATAGGCTGGAGTTAAAGGCACGTTGGGTCGAATGCTGGGTGTGTTTGAAGTAAGTAACTCTTGTCAATGTTGAAATAACGTTTGAGAAAGATAACACATTAACGATTTTAATATATACAAAAATGCTTGGAATTATAAAAATGTTAAGTATATAAATATATTTTTCTGTAAAACTGTCACTTGACATGCTTTACAATTTCTCTGAGCCTAGTGTTACAGTAACTCTTTGCCTCTGCCAGGTATGTATGTTCTGTAGCTGAATGTTTTGTTCTGCGTAGAAGCGTGCTTAGCTATTACATGGGCGGTGGACTTTAACACTGCTCTGAAAAGTATGAATCAAAGGAAGAAGTGAGCGCTTTGGGTGGACAAGCAGCTGAAACACATAGGACAACCAAAAAAATTCCTCACATGAATATAAATATAAAGTGCAGCGCTATAATAGTGACAAACATGGAATGAATAAAAAAATAATAAATAAAATTTATAAGTACGTCAAAAAGGGGAAAAAAACCCCAAGCCAAAAAAAGTCCCAGTAAAGATGACTTCAGGTGCCCATACACACTGACCAGAGGTGCATGCACTGTGGCAGAGATGGAGTTCAGGATGTAGTCAGGGAACAGAGGTAGATGCAATCCCCGGATCAGTGAAGATCCCCAGACCAAAGTAGCACACGTTCCACTAGACAGCAAAGAAGCAATCACAGCTCCACCGGAGAAAACCACCACTCCTCCACTTCACATCAGCGATATCTAGGAGGAGATACTCCCCACAGAGGAATCAAAAGAAATGCCCATGGTAAGGTACAAAATAATACGTTTATTAATGTAAAACAGGATGCATCCAGAAGTGATAAAATAAGCACACGGCTAGCAGACCATGAAAGCTAGCAGTAAACCGAACAAGACTAACCGTCCTGTCAGATGTAGTGGCCGCCGGAGCTCCCCAATGCTCCGACGGCATGGCGTCAAGGCGTGCGCAGGTTCCTCCTTACGCGTTACGTGCCAAGCACATCCTCAGAGAAAAGAACCGGTTCTTCTTTCATGGTCTGCTAGCCGTGTGCTTATTTTATCACTTCTGGATGCATCCTGTTTTACATTAATAAACGTATTATTTTGTACCTTACCATGGGCATTTCTTTTGATTCCTCTGTGGGGAGTATCTCCTCCTAGATACCGCTGATGTGAAGTGGAGGAGTGGTGGTTTTCTCTCGGTGGAGCTGTGATTGCTTCTTTGCTGTCTAGTGGAACGTGTGCTACTTTGGTCTGGGGATCTTCACTGATCCGGGGATTGCATCTACCTCTGTTCCCTCACTACATCCTGAACTCCATCTCTGCCACAGTGCATGCACCTCTGGTCAGTGTGTATGGGCACCTGAAGTCATCTTTACTGGGACTTTTTTTGGCTTGGGGTTTTTTTCCCCTTTTTGACGTACTTATAAATTTTATTTATTATTTTTTTTTTATTCATTCCATGTTTGTCACTATTATAGCGCTGCACTTTATATTTATATTTTATGCTCTGAAAAGTGATTCTAATGGCAGTTTTTTTCCCTTTTTTGTTCCAAATGGGCATCTCACATTGAAATACCATGCCACAACCTTGTACTAAGTGTTTGGCACACAGTTGTGGCATGGTTTCATTGACTGTGTAATAGCTGAATATGGCAAAGGGAATACCGGGCCGTAGATGGTCCTTAACCCAGCAGCAGGACTGGTATCTGCTCCATTGTGCAAGGAAGAACAGGATGAGCACTGCCAGAGCCCTAAAAAATGACCTCCAGATCTGGGAGGAAATACCCCAGGACACCATCCGTCGTATTCTCCTGCCCATTCTCAGAATGTGATGCATTGTGTGATAGTGAGGTTGGGGAAGAGGCACAACTTTTGTGAGTGACAGCAGCTTCTGTATATGTGTATATATATATATATATATATATATATATATATATATATATATATATATATATATATGTGTGTGTGTGTGTATATGTATGTATGTATGTATGTATGTATATATATCAGTATACACTATGTACTACAATAATGAAAGGGATATCATAAAGGTTGTAATAAACACCAACTGTGTGATAGTAGAAAATACATATATACACATATACACACACCACCAAGGAGAGTGAGATATACACACAAGCCCACAGAGGGGCAATACAAATATATTATATCCCATTCTAAGCCAAAAGCTGGTAATGGCATATATGACGTTTACCCTTTAAAGTACTACTGCGTGTAGAGAATACTTTAGTATGCTGTTATACCATTGTATTTCTGTTAATTTTTATAGCGCTGGGAGACAGCTATTCAGGGCTGTGAGCGATCTAATGCAGGACGATATTTGGCAGAACAAGCCAACTATAGGTAATGGGATACACAGCAATTCACATAACTAAAGTTTGGTGCTGTGTTCTTAAAAAAAAAAAAAAAAAAAAAAAAAAAAGAAACCCAAAAAACTTTAAAGCTAAAAACAGTAGATGTTCAATAAACAAATGATAATTGTAGCTGTGAAATGCCTAGCCCAGGGGTAGGCAACCTGCGGCTGCCTACCCCTGGCCTAGCCTAAACAGTTTTGTAGAAATGATGCTTAGGCAGAGCTGGCCCTTTGGCACAGACCACAACCTGACCTGAGAGCATTGCTTTCTGCAGGACTGTTATTCCTCTTTGAAGTTAACCTCTATTTGTGTAAGTGTTAATTACTGTGACTTATATTTTGAGAAAAGCATTGTCCTATTTTACATGAAAAATAAATTAGACTTGTTCTTACAGAGAAAATGTGTTTTGTGTCCACGCCAACATACTTTTTTTTTTTTTTTTTTTTTTTCCTTCAAACTTATTTCTCTACAGAACTTTGAGAGGAAACACAGAACATTTGTTTATGTCCTGACTGTGACTGAGGTCCTGGACGATTGGGAGGACTCTGTTAGCATCGGTATGTTGGCTAACTTGATCTTCAGATAGTTGTATATATTATCTGAAAATGTATGCTTGACAAACCTTTTCTTAGAAGTTTGCAATTATCTTAATAAACTAACATTGACTTTAAAACTGGATGATGAAGTGCCTTGTAATTATAATGTAAGTTAATTCAAGTCACGTCTTTATAGGGCGGAAGCGCTGCTGGTTCAGCATTGAGGAAGCTGTTCATGCTTTGCAGGGACACAAACCAGTGCAGGCATCCTACTTCCAGAGTCTGAGGCAGAACTGCCACCCTAACAATGGAGCCATCCCCCTGCCTAGTCAGAGTTCCCTTCCGGATGTCAGATGACCTATTCACCCTATGGACTCCATCTTTTCTCCTAATCTACTTTCTTCTCCCATCCTGAGAAGCATCCAGCAGAAAGAGCGTCACTGAAAGTGATGAACTCCACTGGGCCTCTGATATTTTGTTGTTCAGCGATGGATTGTGTATGCTGTGATTTTTTTTTTTTTTCCCCTTTTGTGTGACATGGACACATATTCATGGTTCAGTACTGTTTTCCCTTTTCCTACGTATTTGTGCCATTATCATCTTTACTTTCATGTTCTGACTAATCCAGTTTCCGTTTCTCTCCTAAGTGATATGATAGAATTGTTTGCCTGTTAAACCTTCACAGACAGCTGTTTAGTGTTCATATTCATCTCTCATATGTACTAAAACATTGACTTCCTCATTTCTTAAGCTGCAGCTAAACTAACTGGATGTACCCTGGAGAGGATTCTCCAGAGTTTTCAAATTGAAAAAAAAAAAATCTATCAAACCATTAATAGTGCTGTTAAAATATAACCTCTAATTTTGTTTTAGGCTTTTTGTGTCCAACTATTCTTTAAATAATGATAAAAATTTAACAAAAGATTTTTAGAAATAATTTCATGTTGTACAGTTAGCCAAAACTTTAATTAGATATATTTTTTTTAATTTGAAACGTAGTGCTGTGGTCGGTCAGATGGTAAAATGACTGGCGTGTCTCAATAAGTCAGCCAATATTAACCTTTGTGTTCTGGTATTTTTACTGTAACGTAAAGCAAAAGTATCAGGAAGCAAATTTACACCGTAAATATTTTTCAGAATTGTAAAAGGTGTCACTTTTTTTTCAGTTAGAACTTCAAATACAGTATTTAATATTTTTTCTGTTAAGCAGCTTTTAATACCAATGTGTAACTATGTCATCTTTGACATACTTTCACACTTTTCTATGCTCATAATGCTTTTTTGCTTGTGTCCTGTCATTGATGCACTGTTGACCTGACTCCTTTTCGACCATGTGGTTTATGAAATGGACTTACAAACTGTGACCATGGAATATGTGAACTTTTTTTTTTTTTTTTAAATATGATTACACCTTACCCAATGATATGTTTTACTAAATGTTCACAGTTTACTCACAGGGCACTCTACCCAACTTCTTAGTTATTAAAAAACCTGCTATCTCTTGGAATGTAGGCTCAGTGTAAAAACATTTGGGTTGCATGTATTCGAGGGCAAGTATTGGCTAAAAAGGAACAAAAAGAATAGATGCGTTTTATAGAATGGAACATATTTTCTTGCATTTTAATAGATGTTTCCCTTTGTGTGTGGGAGGGTAAAGTGTGATACTTGAGGTCTGAAAAAAACATTTTTGAACGAATTATGTGAATACGCCTTAATTATTCTGAACATATGTTCATTTTTACATTTATTAAAATCTGGGCTACTTTCAGCATACCAACAGTAGTAGAGGACACAGATTTTGTGCATTTTTAAGTTTTTTTTTTTTTTATGTGCCATATAGAGTAAAAATAACAAAAATGTTTAAATCCTTACTCCAGACTAGTATCATTGTTCACTCTAGATTTGCTGTGCTCTTCAATACTCTTGAGTGGCTTGCCTAGTTCAGAGTATTAGAATTTCTTGCTCATGCCACCTCACATTTTATACTGACCCTCCTCCAGAAGGGATGCCTTTGTACCTACTATTTGGAAATTAGTAGTGCTGGGTTAAAAAAAAAAAAAAAAAAAAGTAAACATTATTCATTGGTAGTTTGACACAGTATGATGCAAAGCATGTACTTTTCATGGTTAAAATGTACAACCTAAGTGGAAATACCACATACCCAGTTATTTGGATTATATATATTGTAAATGCTGCCATCGTGTGTCATTAATTAAATTCTATGCCATAATATATGTAAAAACTATATGCTGTTATTCTATATGCTGGCACAATGTCTTTTTTAGTTAAAAATCCTAATTATGTAGCATACCTGATCTCTTTTTGAATATATACGCTTAGAGATAATTAACCCATGTGTAGGAAAACCTTACTAAGTCTAATCTAAATGTGTTAATTGTAGTTTCTCCTGATCATGTTTGCAAACCTGTCCTGCATATAAAGTGTTAATGTGGAGCCTATGAGCTCAAAGCCAGGCACAAAGAGGTACCTGTACATGCTGCCTTTTGTGCTTCTGATGACATATACACATGACAGGGTTGCTTTAGGTAAATTCACAGACAGTGCATGTTGCTGTACATTAATGGTGTTGGTGTAAATCTCTGTGTATGGAAAACATAGATATGCTTGACTTACTAGATTCACTGGCATTTACCCATCAGATTTATGTTATGATTTTAATTCAAAATTCTAATTTTCAGGATAGTGACTGTATTTAGTAGGTGAAAGTACAGGAGCAATCAAGGTGGGTCCTCTAAAAATCAATGGAAAATTATTGATAAAGTCAATGATTGATCCACAGTCTGCAAAACAACAAATGTTTGAAAAGATTACAGCTGGCAGCTTTAACATTTGACTTACTATAAATATAGTTAATGTTACAGAGGCCTAGATTACCAATTGAAGAATGGTAAATCTACAGTAGATGTGTTGAATGTAGATCAATCAGGTCAAAAAGCAGCAGATAATGGGATGAAAGATGTGATGGGTGTTCTGTGACTAAATCGGTTCATGTGAATCGTGATCAATAAATGGATGACTACTTCTGAATGGTAGGAAAGTGACCATTTTAGCCTCATTAATGAGGCTTTGTGCATTTTCTGACAAATATGCAGGGAAAAAAACCTTGAAATTGTCAAATTTGGTTACAGGTTGATTGTAAATATTGACTAAATGGCATTATTCTCTGGTTCCATTGGAAAGGGTACAAAACGTGTTATTTGACAGGCTGAAGCTTCAGGTATAATATAACACAGGGCAAATGCTTTCCTAATATTTCACCTTCTAATGAGACGTTGCTAGTTCTATGAGGGCAATTTTGTAGAAACTTGAAGCATGTGTTTTGCAGTTCTCTTTTGCTAAAATGCATAGTGGTTAAGGGGGAGGCAGTGGATGCCAGTCTGTACAAGTTAACATGTCTTAGGCCATTATGATATAGATTTTTTTAATTGCCCTGGAGGAATGATCAGACTGATGGCAAATGGGTGTTTTTCCCAAATACAGTACAGTGCATGCTGTGTAAATTCTACATATGCTGAATCATATGCTTTCTGCATATAACTAGAAAATCTGATCCTTTTCTAGACTTTCCAGTTAAGCCTTGGACAGGTGATTACTAGCAATACGTTTCACCCCAAACACTAGTTAAGTTGTTGTACAACTTTGGTGCAACAGCTTGACTTTGTGTACAGGTATCAGCACAGCGGATTATTCAGATATGACAAGTTGCAGGGAGTAATACAAACAATCAGTTTTAGAGTGCATACTAAAAAGAAAATGCAATTACCAGTTTAGGCTGAGAAATGGTAAGCACTTACTGTTAGGATGTCAGGAGTCACATGCAGCTTCTGTGTCTTTGAATGCGAATCAGGAGGTTACAGTATTTTAATTATCAGAAAGGTGACATTCATCTTTTTAGGGGAAAAAAAGTATTATTCCACTGCCAACCCATTCATAAAATTTGGGAATGCAAGCACAGACTTGGAATGAAGAGAAGTACTTTTATGTTGTATTTTGTCGTAAGCATTTTCTGAAACCTTCATTCATGAACCAGGCCCAAAAATTGGAAGTAATGAATATATCTGTCTTTAGCTTGGTGCATGTGCGAAGAATAGGCATTATGATATAAAACCAGTATAGTACACGCATTGATATCAGGGGACACTGAAAAATGGTGATGGCAGGCAGCACAATGAAACACTGGATTTGTCTGCGTATGATCATTAGGCTGCTTGTGAGCATTATGTTGCTTGCATACAAAATGTAACTGGGGATGTCAGTGCAGTTCCTCTTGCAGTGCCTAATCTTGGATTGTTATGTACAGTTTATCATTGGCATTTAGATGGTAAAGGTGCATAGGGAACACAGGAAGTTATTGTGACACTATCTAAACAACATGCTTCATATTGTATTGTCTTTATTTTTTTTTTCTTTATTACCGAGCCATGAGAGAGAAAAATAAAGGTTATGAACCCTAAGCTTAGATTAGTTTTTTTTTTGTCTAGTAATATTGTGTATTTTATTTTGTGTTTTTTCCCTGCAATGTGAAATTATAATATGGATACATTTTAAAACTGAAAGTCCTGTATACACAGTTAATTCCACATTTCTGACTCGATAATAGTGGAGTAATACATAAACAGTCTTTAGCATTCACTGTTCTAAAATAAAACACTATGTGTTAATTTGCATTTTATGATTGATTAGCAATGCGTTGTACTGTCAAAAATGAAAAAAATGTAAAATTTAGTAGTATGGTGTGTTTTTTTTATGTAATATTAACGGAAGTAATAAAAACAAACTCTACTAGTCATTGTGTGTTCATCATTCACTTTCATTTCTTCACCATCATGACTTACATTTTTCAGGTGACCATAAAATGGAGTTGCAAACATCATAGAAGTGCATACACCACAGCATTTACTATATGGAAACGCTATTTATTAGCTATGTGGTAACTTGAAGTTGCACATTTATTGTGCCTGCAGTAATAATGAAATATAATGTAAAATAGACTTTTTAGTAATTGCCAATCTACATAAATAACTGACAAGCTACAACATACAGTAAAAATTTAAAAAAATCTCTAGCTGTTATCTTAACCACTTCCAGACCGGACACTTTTACCCCCTTCCTGACCAGGGCAATTTTCAGCTTTTAGCGCTATCACACTTTGAATGACAATTGCGCGGTCATGCAACACTGTACTCAAATGAATTTTTTACCATTTTTTTGAGATAAAGCTTTATTTTGGTGGTATTTATTCACCACTGGGATTTGTATTTTTTTTTGCTATGTAAATGAAATATCCAGAACTTTTGAAAAAAAGTGTTTTTTTTTAAATAAAATTTTGCAAATAA